ACGATCTCAAGGTTCCGATTTCCGTAAGACGTTATTTTACGTCTGCCTCAGTTACGGTACATCGAGAGCACCGTAGATGCTACAGTCTTAATTATTGCTACAGTTATTTCGTCGACAATAAAACCATCTTAACTGGAACGTTAAAAAATTTACTAACTGCGCACACCTTTGACTAAACTATCGCACAACTGCTTAGTCTCACTTTGATTTGTGTTATATAGAGGTACGCACACTACTCAATTTTTAATTGTGCAAACAATTAAATTGGCTGCGAAATAATCGAAAATCGCACAACAGTTGTGTGAAAGTTTTGTCAAAGTTGTGCGGAGAGCGGGCTCTAAAGGTGTAAATTGTTAAATAATACAAAATAAACCTAAAAGGTCAGTGTACCGTGGATCGATAGCCACTTCCAGGGTTTAGGGTTACGTGGGGACATTACGCGGGTTTCCCCGCTCGGTCAGTGTTGCCAGTGTCAATTAACTACCGGAAATTGAAACGTTCCGTTGTTGCAAAATGTCAGTAATACCAATATTTTTTACATAAAAGATATTAAAACCTCAGTGGCCAGATTTTCTTCTGTTTTATAAGAATATATACGAAAAATATGCGATGAAAATAATCGTTCAAAAAATTTAATTTAGATTTTTACAAACAAAAATATACTTCTTACTAATATTATAAATGCGAAAGTTTAGATTAGATGTTTGCTAGAGTTTGTAGCCTAAACTGCTGAATGGATCTCGATAAAATTTGGCATAGATGTAGAGGATAGTGAGGAAGATCACTTCGGCCTACTTTTGTATTTTTAATTCCACGCAGACGGAATCGTGAGCAAAAGCTAATAGGGTTACATTTTTTACTACATTTTTTCGCCTACGTGCAAAACCTTATTGATCAACTGAAATTAACAACAACTGAACTGAAATTACAAGTATGAATTTCCACAGTGACTTAGCTTCTAAGTATCAAGGAAAATATATACAATTTCCTTTTAAATTATTTTCCGAATACTCCAGCGATGACAAAGATGGCGCCACTGTGTCGGCCCGGGGCGACGCCATGTCTGCAAAATTAATGGCCATTCGACTACTGCCACTACACTGTTATTACCAGATTATATCGTGTAATAAAGGAAAGTAGATAACAGAAAAAAATAATAAATAGAACAAGTCTAGGGAATATTTAGACTTGTATAATTGTCAATCGATGACAATCAAATACAAAAATATTGTATGTTTTTGAATTTCTATAAACCATTTGTGTTTTAACCGACTTCAAAAAGGAGGTTATGTTACGTTTGTATTTTTACTTCATAATTTTGCTTCTGGTAGTTCAATTTTATAATTCTTTTTGTGATACGGAGTTTGTTTCATTTTGTTTTATTATCAAAATTAAATAAGAAATCTATCGATTTATTTTTAAATTGTTATTAATCGCATTATATAACAATTATTTTAAACTAGCTATCACCCGCCAATTTGTAATAAAAAAAAACGTGAGTAGCCTATATGTTCTTCCAGACTATCCTGTACATACGTACCAAATTTGATCGAAATCAGTTCAGCCGTTTAGGCTACAAACTCTAACAAACATCCATTCATCCATTTAAACTTTCGCATTTATAATATTTATATGATATGATAGTATAGTCATCATCCACTTGCCCTTATCCTTTACGGAGGGTCGGCACAGTATGTGCTCTTCCATACTTCTCTATCAGCCGTCATATCTGAATACACTCCTATCTTAAGCATATCCTCTTTCACACAATCCTCTCTCACACAATACTCTCTCACACAATACTCTCTTCGGTCTTCCTTTTCCTTTGTAGCCATCCACATTCAATCTTAACACTTTCTGGTTTATGTCCCCATCATTTCGTCGCATAACATGTCCAAACCACGCTAACCTTTTGCTTCTCCATTTCTCCACCACTGGCGCTACTTTCAAACTTCCTCTAATGTACACATTAGAGGAAGTTTGAAATAATTTATACTATAGTATTATAGTATAAAGTATAATGGACCAATTTAACTTGGGTGTACCGAATTTGTTTAAAAACTTGCATCTATATCATTTCCAAAGCAAAAGAAACACGAGTATATTCATCCCAACAAAACAAAAGAATGTATTATAAACAAACGAAGTTAATTGAATAACCAAGAAGGCCAATAATTTCACATTCAATTGAGAAAGCGACGTCTGTACGCAATTGTACAATTGATCCTGATTGAATTAACAATTGAAACGAACTATCGACGTGCGTCAAAATTATATTTATGTTAAAACGACAACACATATTCCATAACGTAAATTATTTATTAAAAAACGTCTTATAATCTGTAAAGAATGATCTTTTCAAAAGTCTTGCATCATTATAATGGTAACATTACAAGCCTGTCCCACAATTCTTGTCAATTGTCAGATAACAATCTAACGTATAATGTGAATACTTCCAGTATTGAATTTTGGTACTCTATCTGATAGTGACGTCACTTAGCTATCTGAGCCTCTATCGGCCAGACATGGGAAAGGCCCTAAATCTTACTAAATAAATGCCTAAGTGGATGGATGAATTTTAGTTTTTGACCGACTTCCCAATAGAAGGAGGTACTCATTTCGTCTGTATGGTTTTTTTTATGTGTTAAGACATAACTCCGTCGCTAGTGGAACGATTTAGATAATTCTTTTTTTATGCGAAAGGTAGTGCTTTTTGGCATTTTGTTTGATTTTTGGAGTCAAAGACTACGACGTAGTTAAATAGTATATTCGCCTAAATACTGAATTCTACAAACACGGAGTCGTTGGTAAAAAATTTCAACAAAAACAAAGAGGTTTAAAATAATTTTAAATTTAGATAAACATGTAATTTGTTATTAATAAAAGTTAATTACAGTTTTCAGTCGGCGAAATGTAAAGATTTTTTGCGTTTACTATTTAACAAAACATGTTTCTTGAATTAAATTTTAATTAATAATAGCATGTGAAGTTTGCCGACTAATTATTCGTAAACAAACGAATTCGACCTGATTTAGTAATTAGAGAGCCCATCATGATTTTTACTAACGGGATATGTTTCCGCTATTCCGTCCGCGTAGAAAAAAAAACAAAAGTGAATAGCCTATGTGTTCTTCCAGACTATCCTCTACATCTATACCAAATTTCATCGAAATCCGTTCAGCCGTTTTGAGTACAAACTTTAACAAACATCCATCTAAACTTTTGCATTTATTAGTATGAAGCATGTTCCGCCATATTGTGACGTCATAAACTACATTGCCAGTCATAGTAGTTTTTTTTTATAAGCTTTATTCGTATGTGGAAAGTTTCTATGCCAGTATTTTATTGTGATGGATGTTAAGTCACGTATGAATTTTTGAACGAAATATTTATTGTTACATCGATTGAAGATTTATAGATTCTTCCTTTTAGATTTAAAAATATTTTGACGAAAATACCTCGTTTTTATAGTTTGACGTTAAAATGAAATATGAAGAATTTTACTCGAGTTTTTAAACTTTTTTCAAATATTAAAGTGATTTACTTTTAATATTTAATTTTGATTGTTATCTTACTTACTTATCAAAAATAGGCATTTTAATTACGTCTAAATCTACACTTCTATACTAATATTATAAAGAGGAAAGATTTGTATTTGTTTGTATTGAAATAACTCAAAAACTACTGGCCCGATTACAAAAATTACACCATTTACAAGCTACGTTGTTAGTGAGAAATATAGGCTATATTTTGTTAATTATCTCTTAATTCCACACGAGCGAAGTCGCGTGCAACATCTAGTTAATTATAAACTAAATCTTTCAACAATGTTATCATGTAATGCGCGGTTTATACTTGGGCAGCGCTCTGATTGGTTCGTTAATTAACTGGCACAATGTGAACGCTTACTGGCGTCAATGTCTGTCGCTTAGCTTCGCAACTGTACTGGCTTAGAGTGAACCGGGCTTTATAAGTTTGCTAGCTGTTCCCATGCGACTTCATCCGCATGAAATTATTATTTTATTGTTTACTTGTGTCAAATTGACAATTGCAAATGTCAAAATGACATGACATGACAAAACTTGGCAATCTTGCTTCCCAGATGTTTGCAGCAACTTATGGTTTTTATCCAAAATATTTACCCTTAAGTTTACTAGCGTGAAAATATATAGCCTAAAGCGTGACTTAAGTGTAGGGCTTTTTATTAAAATAATAATTTTTCAAAAATATGCTGTAATTACTGACGTCTTAGGCAACACAGAAGTGTGTGTTTACGCTTTATTATAATAGTATACATTTACGTAATAAAATGTATTATACATGTCACGTGTAACATTAAAACACGTCTTGACACGTTCTCGTCGGGACGCGACTGGGATACGGGTGACGAATATTTTGAAAGATAACGAGTAAAATTGAGTTATGTTTGTAACTACTTATCTCAATAACGGCTTAACGTTAATCCAAAAATGAATTATAAGTTATGAATTAAATTCGAATTAATGAGACACGCGTGAAATGGAATGAATTCCTCGTATCCTCCGATGTGTGTGTGCCAAAGTTCTAGTTTTATTCTCTTTCCCTTCCAACCTTTTTCTTATAAAGAAAGGATAAGAAAGTAAAGACAGTGATGATACATAAGAAGGGGAAATATCCTCTTTATGTACGTCTCCTTCGTTAATTAGGGGTAGGCAACGCATCTGGAATCGTGGATGTCTGGCCAGCGATCGCTTCCCCATTTCGGCGGAATCAGATAGCCGCTTGCTATTTGATTACCTTATTATATATAAAACAGCCTATGTTAACTGATAGAGTAGCATTTTAAGTCGTGAAAGAATTTTTAAAATCGGCCCAATACTCGTAGTTTTTTAGTTATTTCAATACATACAAAAACCTAAAAATACAAATCTTTATTATATTTGTATAGATTACTAGCCCATCTTGATCACCTGAAGCTTGAAAAAGTATCGAAGTTAATTTTTAAATTTTTCCGTCTACAGTTCTGGGAGATCATATCAGAGGAGCACGGCATCGACCCGACTGGCGTGTACCGCGGCACCAGCGATCTGCAGCTGGAAAGGATATCCGTATACTACAATGAGGCCTCTGGTAAATATCACATTGCTTACAAAGTTATCGATCAATATCGATGGATATCAAGTTATCTATACTATTATAATAAAGCGTAAACACACACTTCTTTGTTGCCTAAGATGTCAGCAATTACAGCATATTTTTTAATAATTCTTTTTTGAATAAAAAGCACTACACTTGCATCACGTTTTAGGCTGTATATTTTAACGCCATTACACTTAAGGGTAAATATTTTGGATAAAACCTTATGTGGGAAAGAGACCATAAGTTGCTGCCAACATCAAGAAATCAAGATTGCCATCATGTCATGTTATTTTGACAAAAATATAAAATTTTCATAATTTCATGCGGATGAAGTCACACGGGAACAGCTAGTAGTGAATATAATTGCAAACTTACGGATGAATACAAAAGCATCATTCAAACACCAAATTCCTCTCAAATATTGACGTCTATCAGATTGGAAGAGCGTGCGATCCTAAAACTAAACTATCGCACAACTATTTCGTCTCGATTTGATTCCTATGAGTTTATGGAGGTGTGCACACTCGATTTTTAGTTGTGCAACTAAACAGTTGAATGGGCAGCGAAACAATCGACAATCGCATAACAATTGTGCGATAATTTAGTCAAAACTGTGCCCACTAAGCGTAGTATTTAAGATTCATTAATAATTTTTATTTAAATTCATAGTAAATTGCTAGAAATGTGAATGATTTCACTTCCAATAGTAAAATAACGATAATAAAAATGGTGATAAAACACTTTACCTTGTTTACGTTTTCACATAAAAATGAACATACTATAAGGTCGTTAAATTACGATTAACCGATTCAGAGCATCAGCCGACCCCCAAAACTGTTACTGTACTTGCGTAATTAAAGTAGACCCCCAACCGTCGTTAAAAGGCTGTTGAACTCAACCATTTAATAGCGACTTCGTGCTAGGTATGATTCACATATTGTGGTTAAACATTTCTTTATTATGTTAAGGAAGGTTATAGCCCGCCCTTTTCCTTTTTTTTATAACATAAGGTGGCAAACGAGCAAGCGGCCACCTGAATACGCCAAAATGACGAAGCGACCGCTGCCCAGACATCCACAATTGCAGATGCGTTGTCTACCATTATACGACGGAGGAGGAGACGCACATGAAGAGGACATTTCCCCTTCCTATGCATCTCATCCACCGTCAAATCCACTTCCCCTTCCCAACCTCTCCTTATAAGAAAAGAGTGGTAAAGAGGAAGGGACTTAAATTAGGCCTTTCCTTATGGCAAATTAGCTGTTGCCGCGACTTCATCCGCGTGGTATTTGAAATAGGTATGACCTAACAATTGAGGACTAAGGGAGAAATGGTTCGCCTTTAACTCTAGTCAATAGGATCTAAGTATTAAACTAAATTTTCATAAAACAATAATTGATATTTAAGCTGCTAACATTGCCTGCTAACGTCGAACGGACGCCGACGGTGAAATTATGCATAATAACCGCGAAATAACTGTTACAGCCGCAACCATGCGCATAGCCAACGGTCACCGACTTTATAGCAACGGATGTAATCGTTTTACAGATGCATTATAAGAAATAGATTTAAAAAATGCATTTTAGGTAGAATATCGAAATATGTTTTAGAAGTACTAATATTATAAATGCGAAAGCTTAGATGGATGGATGTTAGTTTGTAGCAAACGGTTGAAAGGATGTCGATGAAATTTGGCGTACATGTAGAGGATAGTATGTAAGAACACGTAGTACTCCCTTTTGTTTTTTTATTTCCACGCGGATTGAATCGCGGGCGAAAGCTAGTTTTAAAATAAGAATCGATTAAATAAAAAGCATTGACCAAAGATTTTCATTATCTTCAGATTAGTAAGTAGTAGTAAGCAATGGAAATTTTAATTGTGTTAAAAATGAAAATATTAATTTATCTTGTTATATATTTATGTTATAATTACAAAGCACGCTCCGTGAATCTCTTGTAATTATAATTCGTTAGAACAATGAAGATAACGAGGTCGTCGACCTCAAGGCCCCGTATCTTATGAAATTATTGTTCCGTTTTGATTCTTTGAATTGTATCAGATTGTCGATATGTCAGTCAATGAAGTTAATAACTAGATATTATAAGCTATAGTCTCCTATATGATTAGTGCATTATACGTGGCCGATTCTAGGACTTGATGAGATCGGATAAGATTTTT